GTCAGAACGGACTCCATGGCAGTGGGTTTGTTTTGGGTTTTGCTTCTGTAAAGATTGACAGCCTAGGAAACCCTCTGGGGCAGTTCCATGCTGTCCTCTAGGGGCGCTGTGGGTCAGAATTGACTCCACCACAGTGGGTTTGGTTTGGGCTTTGGTTCCATGAAGACTGACAGCCTTGGAGACCCTCTGGGCAGTTCCTCCCTGTCACACGGGGTCACTATGATTCACCACTGACTTCATGGCATCCACCAACAACATACATTGATAGTTAAGAATAAATAATGGGCAACTGGGGTCTGAGGTGACTTCAAGAGAAGACTGCCTGGCCAAGGAGTCATCTCTCGACTGCGAAGCACTGGAAAGCCACCCAAGCCAAGGCATTTCTGACACCCTCCGCTGCAGAATCAGGATCAATCATGACATCAGGAAAAGGAAAAAAGGCACCGCTGGCAAGAAATCCCCAGCTCAGTGGCCTGTAACCATGGCCTCGTATGGCAATTCCTGCAATCTCAGCACGCTGCTCACCTGTGACACTGTTGCTCAGCCCATCTGCCACCAAGTCAGGATCAGTGGAGCCAAGAAGGGCATCAATAACCAGTATCATTATGCAAATCCACAAAAACTAAGAAAAAAACAAAGAGCCATGTTTGGCTTACTAACCTTCCCAAATAGTGGGAAGAACTATTAGCCTGATGACAAAGGAACATGCTGGCATGTCACAGTCACCCATCCGCACATAAGCATATTACCACCTCATTTCTCTGATCACTGCTGGGCATGATGTAGATACATTACAATTAAATGGTAATGGAAAACTATTATTTTTTCCTTCAAAATGCCAATACTTTCATTATCAAACCTCAGTAGAAACACCTTCAAAATTTCTTCTTCATGACTCAAGAGTCTCGATGATTATAAACCAATCCAAACTCACTGCCACTGAGTTAATTCCGACTCAGAGCAAACTCCACTGGGTTTCTGAGGAGGTTAAATCTTTTACACAAGTAGACTGCCCCATCTTCTTTCCACGGAGCAGCTGGTTAGGGGTTTGAACCGCCAACCTTCTGGTTAGTAGTTAAATGCCTTAGGCTCTACGCCAGCAGAGCTCCTTTCAATGATTGTCCTATCCTGTAAAAAAAGTCCAATATGGTCTCACTGCAAAATTCCCATTGTCCAGTTCCGTATGCTTGGCCAGTTATACTTTTTTTCTCTGCTGCTGTCAGCCTCTGAGCTGGTATTTCTCACTGGCATCAGTTTTTCTACTTCTAAAAGTTTTTCTTTTTTTCCTTCCAGCACTGATGTGTATGATATGTTATAAAAAACAGGTGGTTGTTTCCTGTTGAGGCGACTGCAACTCATAGTGACCCCAGGCAGCACTGCCCCACAGGTTTCCCAGGCTGTCAATCCTCACAGAAGCAAAGCCCAAACCATACCCACTGCTGTGGAGTCGATTCTGACTCACAGCGCCCCTAGAGGACAGAGTGGAACTGCCCCACAGGGTCTCCAAGGCTGTCAATTTTCACAGAAGCAAAGCCCAAATCACACCCACTGCCATAGAGTCCATTCTGACCCACAGCGCACCTAGAGGACAGAGTGGAACTGCCCCACAGGGTCTCCCAGGCTGTCAGTCTTCACAGAAGCAAAGCCCAAACCACACCCACTGCTGTGGAGTCCATTCTGACTCACAGCGCCCCTAGAGGACAGAGTGGAA